AGAATGCAATATCATAGCATTAATCATCTCAAGAAAAATTCAATTTTTCCTCTCAGCTAAACCATTTTGTTCAGGTGTTCTAGGTGCAGAACATTCATGTATAATACCATTTTCTTCACAAAATGTATTAAAATCATTTGGAAAGTACTCACCTCCTCTATCACTCCTAAGAATTTTAATTTTCCTTCCCAATTGATTTTCTACTTCCGCTTTATATACCTTAAATGCATTAAAGGCTTCATCTTTATGTTTCAATAAATAAACATATGTATACCTAGATGCATCATCTATGAAAGTAATGAAATAACGATTACCACCTCTTGTAATCATTCCATTTAATTCACAAATATCGGAATGCACTAATTCTAATAATTGAGAATTTCTTTCAATACTATGAAACGGCTTCTTTATCATTTTAGATTTAACAAATATTTCACATTTTTTAAAATTATCAACATCACAATTGAATAATCCACACTTGATCATTCTTTTCATAGTTGATATACCAATATGTGCTAATCTACCATGCCACAAAGAAACAGGATCAACCATATAAGCAGAATCAACATTTTTATTAATAGAATTGTCAATAGTACATAGTTTGACCATTCTCTCACTGGAAAAGCCTTTTCCAACAAAAGAACCATTTCGGGACAAGATTAACTTGTCCGACTCATACACAGCCTTAATCTCAGGCTTACCCAAAAGATCCTCACTAGTTAGATTTCTATTCATATCGGGTACATAAAGTACATTGGCTAGAGTGATTTTCTTCCGAGAAGTGAATGCAAGTTCCACACCCCCTTTGCCAAGCACTTTAGAACGGACTTCATTCCCCATTTGAATTTGTCCTGATCCTTTTTAGGACCCAAATTCTTGTTCTTGTTGATTTATGAGGGCCTAGTCATGGCATTGGCTTTGGAAACAGCCTCATAAGAATTTTTATTCTTATCTCTTGCCCTTGACTCCTCTTCGATCCGAAGATGTTTTTGTATGTGCTCCAATGAAAAATCTTCAGAACTATGCAAAATCTTCTTCCTATATTTGTAACACCCTGAAGAATTAATTGGGATTAATTAACGTAATTGAGATTATTAGTGTGCCTAATCTGGATTTATTAATTGAGTATTAATTAATAAATGTTTCTGACACGTGTGAGTTTAAATAATTTCAAGGTATTTAAATATTCTCAGTATTTACATGTTTACCCAGAAGTGTGTATGAGCACATTTCTGAACAGTTATTTTAAATTTAGTGACACCTGCCTTTTATTTCTTTTTTTTTTCTTTTCTTTTCCTTTTTCCTTTTTCCTTTTTCCTTTTTCCTTTTCTTTTCCTTCCTTCCCATGCATTCACTCTCTTTCTCTCTTTCTCTTCACTCCCGCTCTCTCTCTCTCCCTCTCTCTCTCTCATTTTCGTCCCAAATCAAACGGATCTTGAACCAAAGAGAGTTTCAAAGCGTTTTCAACGTCAAGAGAATGATTTGAGGTAAGATTACTGAAAGAACCTCTCTTGAATCTCAAGTTTTCAAATTTCAAAACTTATTTTTAGTTCAAACCGGATATTGATGGTTTTTGAGTAAAACTAGGGTAGAAATTGGAGATCTTTGGTTCTTTGGACTTGTTTTAGGACCTAGAACCCGGATCTAGTGGTTTTTCTTTGAAATATTTCGATTTGGGACTGAGATTGCAGGTTTTTGGACTGGTTTCCGTGAGTTTCTCTCGCGCAGCTGATTCCACCGGTTGACCTGTCCGGTCGACCAGATCACATGGTAACCGGTCGACCGGTGCGGTTGACCGGATTGTATTGGCCTGACCGGTCGACCAGAGTGCACACCACCGGTCGACCGGTGGTAATGCACTGTTCTGTCACCAGTCGACCGGTTGACACGGGGTCTGACCCTGTTTGGCCTGAAATTGCTGTTTTGACCCATGTTTTCAGGGAGAACCCAAATTAGCTTCATTTGGGGACTTGAGATAAATGGATTAGCATCTTTAATCCTTGATTTGAGATTGAAAACCCAAGGAATGATAATTTGAAACATGAAAATAGATTAGGGCATACTAATTGGAAACCCTGGTATCTAATTGAGATTGGATTACTTTAGGAATGAGAATTAATCCTAAAGTGTTGTCTTGCATCAGTGATCGCTGAGGATTCAGACTGAAGGGGCTTGAGGAAGTAGAAGCCAGAAAAGGCAACGCTAGTCCCAAGTTTGATAGTGCGAGGTAGGATTTCTATCCCTTTTCCTTGTGAGCCTGTTTTCAAAAAAGGATTTTGGCATTGAAAATGTTTTAAAAGAAATGGGTTGGTTTGCGAAAGAAAAACTCTTTGAAAACCATGGCTTGTGTAGTTTATGAAATCCATGGCTTGTCCTGTCCATCGCATCCATAGCTTGTCTAGTCATGGAACTTCATGGCTTGCCCAGTCATGGGGCCCGCGGCTTGAGTAGTTCGTGGGGTCATAATAACGATTTCAGAAAGTTAATGAATGATTTTTTAAACTAAGAGATCTTGTGAACTGGTAAGAGAGTCTATTGCTGTAAGCCTAGATAGGATGCGGATAGTGCATCCTCGGAGGTAGAACCCGAAACTCAGTCCGGGTAGGCGAGGCACTTGGTTAAGTAAGTAATTTGTACTAATTACTTGCTGAAGCATGTAATACGGTTATTTTCAGTTATATTTTCTTTGAGAAAAATGATGTGAGGTTCCAGCTGTCTGTTAGAACTGAATGTCTATTTATTCACTTACCCATTTATTTATTTACTCGCACATTTATATATTCATTTATTTATAATGTTTATTTCAAATTATATCATACTGGGTCTTTCGCTCACGTTTTATGTTTTAAATGTATTAAACCCCTCCCATGAGATTCTAGGAGTGGTGCACAATAGCCGGATATTTGCTACAGAGTAGCTGAGTGTTGCTGCTGTTGGGACAAGAGAGGATTGTGTTCATCCTCTGACGTAAATGTAAGGAGTTGAGAATTCTGTAAACTCTAGAAATATTTGGATTAACTAGACTGTGGTTGATGTCTGTTGTAATTGATTATTTACATGTTCATGTATGTACGATACTGTATGTCCTGTGGGTGGAGCCCTGTGTGTTGTCAGAGGCTCGGGATTCTGTAATTTATTTATATTTTAATTCAGTCGAGTGGGGCTGGTCTGGGAATCTGCTTTATTAATCCCTAATCGAGCTCCACGTCACCCACCCCATTTGGGGGGCGTGACAATATCCTTTCCAAGTAGAAGACAATTTAGCAATAATTGCTCCTACTTGAAATGATTCAGGAAGTTCAATTTTTACAGCCCTCAATTTATTGACAATCACTTGCAATTCATGCACTTGTGGTAAAATTGGTTTATCATCAAAGAATTTAAAATCAAAATACTTTGAAATTAAGAATTTCTTGGTACCTTCCTCTTCCGCTTTGTATTTGAACTCCAATGCGTTCCATATCTCTTTTGCAGAAGATGTATTGGTGTAGAGATCATAGAGAGGATCGGAGAGAGCATTGAGTATGTGGCCATGGCATATCAACTCATCCTCATCTTGTTTCTTTCGTTCCGCCTTCAACGTTTCAGAGTCATCATCGGTTGGTTTGGGAATAGGCTCCAAATCTGGACTCAAAACATAGAAGATCTTCAATGCAGTCAAGAGAAACTTCAATTTGTCCTGCCTCCTTGTAAAGTTAGTCCCATCAAAGCGATCCAATTTAACCAAGTCCTGGTTCATCAATTTGATAGTGGCAACGGTAGTTTTGATCTCCATTTCAGCAGAATTACGCTTTAAGATTGTTAGAAATCTTGAGGGAAATGAGACTTGAAACACGTAGAAAGTACGCTTTCTTTAAAGCGTAATTTACCCCCTCTCGTTAGAGATTACTTCAGGTTCTCAGCAAATCGCTCGCAGGATATGACAAGCCTTCAAGTTGTTAATCACAAACAAAATGACAACAACACTAAGAACACAATAACTTTTTGAATTTATGAAAATCTTTGAACAAGAAGAGAAAAGAATTGTAGAGTATATTTCTCACTCAATTTATCAGTAATTCTTGTTCTTTTTATAGTTTTTTATCACACCAATACGTACAGACACAACCAAACTTGAAAATGCACCTTTCCCATTTGAATTTGTGTCAATTCAAGTTTCAAAAAACGTGTCTAATCGTTACGGCGCTGCAGCGCCAGTTTCTGGAAAATCAGAAACCGTCTGTGCATGCCCGAGCGTTGCAGCACCCAAGCTCAGCGCCGCGGTGCTATGCTCTCTGTCCAATCCAATGCCGCAGCGCCCAGACTTAGCGCCAAAGTGCTATGCTTGCTGGAAATTTTGTCAATTCCAGCGCCGCGGCGCCCAAACTCAGCGCCAAAACGCCCTGCTTGCTGGAAATTATGTCCGCTTTTAGGTGTGATAAAACTTAACAAATTCTTATATATTATATTTAAACAATCCCAACATGATCGAAAGCAGATGGTGAGAAAGACAGATCCGACGTTGAGGAGCTTAAATAATATGTTTTGATCTTTTCGTATCTTCCTAATCTTTGTTGTATAGTTTCTGGGATTGTAATAAGAGCGGTAATCTCCCCACCCGACTCTCTGTGTGATGGTATGTATGTGTGTAAAGTCCATTATAGGATTAGAATCTGGCTCATTATGAGTCGATTCTCTGTGGCTGAATACTATTGTAGAGTCACTTCTTAGAGAAGTCTCCACTATTAGATTTAGGGTGCGTTTATAATGGTTATTCGTGTGAACGGTACTCGCTCCTATAATTTTAGTGCAGTTATGTATTCTAATCTGTAGCGGTCTTTTGAGGACGTTTGGTTGATGAATTCAAAATCATGATTCAAAACTATTCTCAATTTATGTGTTTTTTTATCAGAGAAAATATTATAATGAATCACGAAACATGATTCGAACCGAATCATAACACGAATCTTGAACCAAACGCACATATTGCCATATTTTTCCCTAAAAAAACAAAAAAAAAAACTGCAACTAAATTAGAAAACCAAATCAAGAGGGAATAAGAGGAATAGTGAAAGTGGGAGCAGCCGACGAAAACAGATCGCGCCGTCGCAAGCGCTTTATCTCTGGGTTTTCTCAACTCCAGAAAAGAGGAAAGAATGAAGAGGCTCAACGGTTCACAAGGTACTTCTGGGTTTTCCTTTTTAACTAAAATTCATAGTTTGGAATTCACAAATTAGTTTTGAATTGAAGAATGTGTGTGGATAAAAGTATGCTAATTATGATTTTCCTCTTACATTTCACAAGGTAAATCTGGGTTTCAAAAGGCATGATGAAAAACCTCGTACTCTTTCACATTTGTTGCAAATGCCTCTTGATGATTAGATTGAGCGAGAAATTGGTAGTTTTATTCCAATGCAATTAAGTAATTATGAAGATTTAGAATCTAATTTTTACATGATTTAAGTACGATAATCATATTGATTCTAAAGTAAGCGTAGAGTTTTTTTTTTTTTTTTTGGGAGAAAGTATGGAAAATGATGGTGATTATGTCAATTTAGTGAGGATTAAGTTTCCCGAGACTTGTTTTCTGAGGAGAGTGAGGAGGATGGCGAGCGAAGAATTCGGGGAAGATGGTAGGAATCACAAGCTTATGGCGATTGCGGTTCATTGTGTTTTTTTAGAATCTGGGTTTGTTGAATGTGATGAATTTCATTTTCCTGATGAGTGGAGCCCTTCAATGGCTTTTACAATGTCTTTTCGCTATACACTGCCTGAAATTTTTACCTTGAATTTGAGAGAATCTATTGTTTTGAAGTATCAGATTCTAGGCCATTTTGTGAATGTATTTGGGTCTTTAACTAGTGGTGGTTCAGTGACTTACCGGGTGTGTTTGGATGAGCACAAGTTTGCACCGGCTATTGATTCTGTGTGTGCAAAAGGGGATGAGTTTGAAAGCGAAGTTTATGAGTTGTGGAAGATTGTGAAGGATGAGTTTGCATTTCCTTTGTTAATCAATCTTTGCGCAAAGGCCGGATTGCCCTCTCCGCTGTGTTTCATGCGGCTTCCGTCTGAGCTTCAGATGAAGATTTTTGAGTTTCTTCCCGGTGCTGATCTCGCAAAAGTCGGTTGCGCCTGTAAGGATTTGCGATACTTGTCTTGCAACAATGATTTGTGGAAGAGGAAGTATTCTGAGGAGTTTGGAATGGAGATGGCGGGATCACATGCAGTGATGCATTGGAAGAGGGCATTTGCCATTGCTGCCTACTGGCGGAGTAAGAGAAGGGAGGAGGCAGTGGAAGCAGAGGAGGCGGAGGACTCTGCGGCTGTGAAGTGGAGACGGTTGCCCCATCATGGTTGGCACATGTATAGTCCCATAAGAAGGGATCCTAATCCATTGGAAGTGCCTCGGATAATTGGTGGAGATTATGGCCATGTACCGGGTCTTTCCTTTCCTTCTTTCAGGCGGCCAGGTCGGTTTCCTCTCCTTCGGAGGACCTTTTCACCCCATTTTCAGTGGTAATGGCTGGTCAGGTGAAACTCAATTGCCGAACGCTGCAGGTTGATAAGCTTGTTGGTGAATTCAGAGATTGTCATTGTGTTGTAATGAAATTGATCAGAGATTCTTTGCT